TATAAAATAATTTTAATAAATTATATTTTACTTGAATATTGATTATTGCACATTAAATTCAATGAATATATTGAATAATTGCCACGCTCCTTATCTAGCCATAAATTTCCCATTTAATCTAAAGTCAAATAAGAGCTAGTTTTATCTTTCCCATAAACTACTCCGTGTATATTTCAGCGCTCTGCAGCTCAGCTCGGCCGACTGCTGATTGATGCGGCTGTGATTGACTGTCGAGCAAGGTGTTGATTGAGAACGTCAGCTGGTGAGCAATGCGCTGACTCTATCAACTTCCGCCTTCAAAAATTGCCGCTGTGAATGCTACGATTTCCCGGAATTGTGCCACAACAATTTTTTTATTTTATTTTGTTGTTCAATTCCCGGTTAATGTTTGTTTGTTTCTAGCCTGTGTGTGTGTGTGTGTGTGTGTTGCATGGTTTCATTTTCATTTTGGTTTTTTTTTTCTTTAAGTATTTTTTTTTTTTTTTTGGTTTTGTTTTCTTAAAATAATTTCACGTAAAAGGTAAATATGTGCGATGTTTGATCTCTGATAAGCTGAAGGCGGCAGTTGGCGGCCGGCGCATGCGCAAACGTCGTCATCAACAACAAGAACAGCACCAACGGCAACGAGAGCAACAACAAATTGACTCTGACTTTTTGGTGATTAGCTTAGCAAGAATTCGCGTTACATTGCGTGGCAAGTGAAGCATTATGTATGTGTGTGTGTGTTTGTGTGTGTGAGTGTGTGTGTGATATTCTCTTTTGTGGATATTTCTCTTTTGACGCTGTGTAAATAGCTTGGCGAATGTTTCGCCGAACAAAAGACAATAAAACAGCGAACATTGAGCAATTAAGCGGCAAAAGAAATGAGTGGCTCATGAGTGGACTCATTCAGATTGCTTGAGAATGGGTGTGTCGCAGGTACTCTTTAATTTGCCAAGGCAAACATTCAAATGTGAGTGAGTGTGCGTGTGTATGTGAGTGGGGCAACAATAGCGAACAACGCCCACAAAATGTATTACGCATGTAATTTGAGTAGCTTTAGGCCCCCTTTCCCTCTCCACCTCTCTTTGACTGCTGCAGGACTTTTTTGAACTCTGCTTTTCCTCTTTCAATTCCTTCTCTGTTTTTTTTTTTTTTTTTTTTTTTTTTGGCTAATTGCTAAACGGATTTCCGCTGCTGCTGGGCGTGGCAAGCAGACTGATGAAATTGAGAGCATAAAAGTGGCGAACTCAGGTAGCTCAGCAGCGCAGTTTAAGCAGCTTAGCAAGGATAGCCAAAGAGTGAGAGAGTATGAGAGAGAGCGAGTGTGTGTATCTTTGGCTCTGGTCCTAACTATTCCAGGAATAGTTTAGACATTGATATAAAAGCCACAGGCAGCCACCGGCAGCCGCTTGGGGTGGCTGCCATTCGTCATCCTTCATGATTAGAATGCGCAAAAACCAAATCCAGAAGAAGCAAAGGAAAAGGTAAGCGTAAGACTCTGAGCTCGAGAGCACATAATACCCTAGGCAACTAATCGAGTCAGCCGTGTTAAAGCGTGTGGCGTGCCAAATTGACAAGGTGTCACCAATTAGAAAACAAGTTAGTTGAGCTCCGTTCAGTTCAGTTGAGTTGAGTTGTCTCATTTGTGCCCCGCTGGCTGGCTGACTGGATGACTGGATGACATGGCAGGGTAAGGGCCTGCTGCTGTCTCCAGGGTATTAACGCACAGTTTGACAGCCACTGTGCGGTGCAACCCCAAAGTGTTAATGGCCTAGGTGTTAATTAGGGCCAAGGGCACATAAAAAAACAATATACATAGATATATATTGGGAAGGGATATGGTAGTGCGATGAAAGTGCTGCGATAAAAAGCTGTCACCAGACCAATATAATCCAGCCATCGACAATCGAGAAATCCATAAAATGTCAAGAGAGTGCAACTCATAAAAAAAGGATGTGCTGGCCCCGTCCGTTGATAAGGTCAAGAGCCCGCGCTCTAATAAAACTCAGCTGCCGATGAGTGAAACGCTGACGCCGCTAACGCAACGCACGCGACCCTCTGCGCACGCCCTCGCTTAGCATTGCGAGGGCGTGGCGTTTATGGTGCATTGGCAGCACAGGTAGCCCAGGACAGTAGCTATAATAAAACGGCACGACACTTTTTGCAATTCATAAGAAACGGCGGGATCGCTGCGAGCTGCCTGTTTACATTTATATGAAAATGATTGTTGACAACGGGCCCAGACGAACGACAACGGGGAGCAACAGCCAAAAAGTGTTGGGCCGAGATGGCTGGGATGGCTCAGATGGTCGCCTGGGACAGCTCCTGGCCAACTGTCACAGCGGGCGAACAAACAAGCACATTTGATTGATTTGAATGCACAGCTCAGGCTCAGCTCTGGCTCTGGCTCTGACTCTGGCTCTGGCTCCGCAGGCTAATTCTGAGACAGCAGCATTTGGTGCTGCCAACCTGCGGCAATTAGCATAAACATGCTGAAACGCCAAGTGGAGCAAGTGCAGCGGCGCGCAGACAAGCGCAGACAAGGCAATGCCATTGTTTCGACACGGCGACAGCGACAGCGAAAGTGGCCCAACAACATGTGGCAAAGTCTCCAAGCAGCAAGTGCCAGATCGTATTACTGCAACAAAAAACATGCAACCCACACACGCACACACACACACACACACTCGTATACACAAAGTGACATTCAACAACATAAATAAGAACAACAAAACTGAAACCAAATCAATTTGTGTATTTGCTAGTAGCAGCGCAAAGAGGCGTTGACAACAAATACTCCAGAAACAAATCGCAGATCGCACAGATCACGGATCACGGATCACTCACATCACAGTTCCCAGATCATATTTCACAAGGCTCACCCAAGGACTACTCAAACTGATTGAGTTTTACAGTTAGCGTTGAGTAGAACTGAACTAAATGCATAAGTTGAGGTGAAGCTGATGTTAAGCTAATAGAACTAAGGAAATATCGAATGTTTGACAAGAAAGAGTATATATGGCTTGCATATGTAATTAGTTTTATGTTTTATAGCGCGTGATATCCTTTGCTTGAACTTTTTATATATGAAATTATTTTCTCAATTGCTTCAAACATTTTCAGTTTGAGCCTATGCAATTATTTTAATTTTGATTTTATTTTTTTTTCATTCTTTGTTTTTTTTTTTT